GTCCTGGAATTCACTCTGTAGACCAGGCTGGCCTAGAACTCAGAGATCACCTGCTTCTGCCTCCTTGGGTGCTGGGATTAAAGGGATGGGCCCCTACATCCTGACTGGTTTGTTTGTTTGTTTGTTTGTTTGTTTGTTTTTAGGTCAGGAGTGCCCTTAACCCCAGCACTCAGGACAAAGAGGTAAGCAGATTTCTTAGCCAAAAAAAAGAGAGGATAGGGGGAGTGAAGCCAGACATGATGGTACACACCTTTGATCCCAGCACTTGGGTGGCAGAGCCAGGCAGATCTTTGTGAGTTCAAGGCCAGCCTGGTCTACAGAGTAAGTACCAGGACAGCCAGGGATACATAGAGAGACTATCTCAGGAAAAAAAAAACTAAAATTTGAAAGAAAAAAAAAATGGCAGGGATGGCTGGAAAGAGGGCTCACTGGGTCATAGTACTGGCTGCTCTTCCAGAGGAAGCAGGTTCAACTCCCACATGGGATCTGACTTCCACGAGCACCAGGCACTTACCTCTCACATTCAGGCAACACATTCATATACACTTAAAAAAAAAATCTTCTTAAAAGTTTAAGAAGAAGCCAGTTGGTGGTGACACATGCCTTTGATCCCAGCACTCAGGAGACAGAGGTGTATAGATCTCTGTAAATTTGAGGACCAGCCCAATAGAGTGAGTTCCAGGATAGCTAGGGCTACACAGAGAAACCCTGTCTCAAAAAAAAAAAAAAAAAAAAAAAAAAAAAAAAAAAAGAAGAAGAAGAAAATTGTAAAATTTAAAGAAAATAAAAATCATGCACTTGCCTTCTGCTGTCTGCTGACTAAGCCTTTATCATCCCACACCCGACTCCATGGCTGTTATTACCTTCCCAGTGTCTGGTTACACCAACATTCCTCACTAGCCCTCTGTAGTCCAGGACAGTACAAATCTTTAAATATGCGCTTTCACCTGGCCACCATTTAGGAAATAACATTGCGTTCCCCGTGCCCCAAATAAGCTGCCAGCTGTCCACTCCTCTGGAGAGAGATGAGATCTTTCACTAGGACATTCTTCTTAAGGAAGGAAATTGCTGCTATGAACTAGCTTTTTCTTAAGACCTACTGTGAGTCACAGTGAGACACCTAACAAAGAGTCAGCAACAGAAACAGTGCGGAAATGATAGGGTTTGGGTTTGTTTTAAATGTTGTCTGCACAACCCTGGATGTCCTGGAACCTACTCTGTAGACCAGGCTGGCTTTGAACTCACATAGAGATCCGCCTGCCTCTGCCTCCTGAGTGCTGGGATTAAAGGCCTGTATCAACACTCCGGGAAAAGACTGGAATTTCTTTATAAAAACAAAACAAACAAACAAAACTTCAGTATTTCTCTTTAATGGGTGGCATATGAATAGGCCCAAGCGCTGGTTTAGTTTTAGAGGCATGTTCTAAAGCTGGCTAATGCCTGCTGAGGGGATGGCCTCATCTCCCAAACTATCAGAGCTGCCGGAGACACTGCAGCTGTTTCTAACCCTTAAGTCATGATTCTTCCACCTGTCTGGGTAAATTTATCCCTGCAGCAAATGCGGGCAGCTCTTGGAGGACTGTTTAAAGATGAGAATAGGCAAAGCCTTAGGTAAAGGCTTGCAGGCAGCTGATGGCTGATCCTTTCTCATGTCAACCTAACTGCTAAAAGTAGATGTCTCCCATCCTCTGTAGCTTCAGTATTTCCATAAATCTCAACAACATTCCTCTTCCTTGACCTTCTTCAGGCAGTTGAAAGTTAGTGTTTTCGGCCATCTTGCTTAACTACCTTCCCCTCCCTCTAGGCTTTCACAAAAACCAAAATTCCCTTTTCTCTAGCAACACAATCACCCATGTCTGTATCAACGGCAGTAGCATAAAGGATATTTCATGTTGAGCCTGGAACCTTCCCATCCTGCCTCTCCCAGCCAGGTGCTAGGATTATAGGTGTGCACCACCCTGTCAACTGTGTCAACTTGACATCCCCTCCCCCCAGCTGAGGACTGAACCCAGGGCCTTGTACCTACTAGGTAAGCGCTCTACCACTGAGCTAAATCCCCAACTTGACATCTTTCTAGCAGAGAAGAGTAAGTACCAATTTTGTATTGTTAAGATTGTTAAGTAATAGGAAGAGTGTTGTTCAGAGTCATGCAGGATGCTACGTACGACACCCGAGGTCTCAGGTTCCATCCCCAAGCACCATACGGTGGAGAGAACCTGAGGTGGCCCTCGCACCTTCACCCACACGTGTGTTCATGCATAAAAGTACACATGCTCATATGTGCACATGAAATAAATACATGCAAACGGGGCACTCAGGAGGCAGAGGCAGGCAGATCCCTGTGAGTTCTAGGCCAGCCTGGTACACAAAATGAGTTCCAGGACAGCCAGAGATATACAGAGAAACTGTGTAAAAAAACAGATAAAGCTGGGCAGTGGTGGCACATGCCTTTAATCCAGGTGGATCTCTGTGAGTTGGAGGCCAGCCTGGTTAGGGAGCGAGTTTCAGAACAGCAAGGGCTGTTATACAGAGAAACCCTGTCTCGAAAAACCAAAAAGAAAATACCCAAAAATTGAATTTTCTCTCTCTTTCTTTCTTTTCTTCTTCTTCTTCTTCTTCTTCTTCTTCTTCTTCTTCTTCTTCTTCTTCTTCTTCTTCCTTTTCTTCTCCTCTTTCTCTACCTCCCTTCCTCCTTCCCTCCCTCCCCCCTCTTTTTTTTTTTTTTGGTGTTGTAAGACAGAGTCTATGTAGCTCAGGCTAGTCTTGAACTCACTATGTGAACCAGGCTGGCCTTGAACTCAGAGCTCCTCCTGCCTCTGTGTCTCCTGTACTGTAAAGGCCTGGCTCTTAAGCAAGGTGTGGTGGCACAAGCTATCAAATATATTTTCCTTTACTTTTATTCTATATGTATAGGTGTTTTGTCTCTCGATCTGTGTACCACATGTGTGCAGTACCAGCAGAGGCCAAAGAAGAGTGTTAGGTCCCTGGAATAGGAATTACAGATCTTTGTTAAATGCTCTGTGGGGCTAGGAGCCAACAGCAGATCCTCTGCAAAATCAGCGAGTGCTTTTTTTCCAGTTTAATCTTTTTTTTTCTTTTTTATTTATTTATTTTTTCCTATTATCAGCTTGATACAGTACAAATTCTTATCCTAATAGTGAAATGTTTCACTGAGGCTTGCCCAGTAATTGAGTAAAACCAAAACTTATTATTTGCCATAGTCATCCTAGGGTCCCCCCTGCTATGTAGCCTCCCTGGTTCTGTGGGTTGCAGTCTGATTGCTCTTTGCTTTATATCTAGTATCCACTTATGAGTGAGTACATGCCATGTTTGTCCTTCTGGGATTGGGTTACCTCACTCAGGATGATATTTTCTAGTTCCAGCGAGTGCTTTTAACTGATGAGCCCTCGATAGCCCCAAGCACAAAGTTTTTAATACCCCAACTCAAGATCTCTGAATCCAGGGTAGCCTGGTCTACATAGCAAGTTCTGAACCAGTATTGGGAGCAGAGGCAGGCAGATCTCTGTGAGTTTAAGGCCAGACTGATGTACAAAGAGAG